GTGGCACGGGTGTTTTTTTTTTGGCACCGGTTGCAGTGTTTCCATGTCCTATAGACTCCCCGAAATCATCGTGCTCATAGTGGAATGCACCACCTGTAACTGTTTGGCTGATATTCTGATTTCATGGTCCTCCGAGTCTTCGGGGCGATGCCTTCGATGTCACCGAACTCGGCCCTAGTCTTCGGGGCGTCACTCCAATCACGGTCTGAACATCGGCCCCCTCGGAGGCGGTTCGGGGTCCAAGCTGGGTAGAATGGCGCCACTGAACAATCCTAGAACGTGAAAAAACCACCACAACTCACAAATCTAAGAGACCAACTGTCGCAATTCAAGCATTAAACTGTTGCTTGTGTGGCTTCAGTGGAGTTCCGGATGCTCCCTTGTAGAAGTCCCACACATCCCGCCCCTTTTCCCCGCGGTGGACAGAGTGACCCCATGGTGGGCTGACAGCTCCTTCAGTTCCTGCTGCCGTGGTGCCTGATCAGGTCAGGTCCCCCAAGCGAGGGAGGGGTCTTGGATGGGCTATGACAGCTATGGATTTTCTGGTGGTGTTGGTCATCGCGTGTTCAATAACCTAGGCAAGTGCAAACTGGACATGAAAAGAACATGAGATCGGAAACGATTCAAGCACTGTTTGACGTCTTCCAGATCGTCTTCCTCTGAAGATCTCCCGGGGTTCGAAGAAGACCACCAACAGGGTGTAACTCGTCCAAGGGCCGAAGACCCACCATGGATGGCCTGTGAAGAGTGAACCATAATAATATATATATATATTTATACTATATAGAAATATATAGTATAATATATATTAATATGCACCATGGCACCAGCAACGTGGAACAAGGCCTGCAACAAAGCAAGTGATGAAGGCCTCCTGACAGTTGAAAACCGCAGACATTCACAGACCTCTGAAATCGACCACCAAAAATCGACTCGTCCAGCCACAAACATCTACCAATGACGACGCCGGTGACCCACCGGTTTTTCCGGTTCGACTCGTCCCGGAGTGACACCGTACCGTACCTCCCTCACCGTCCCTCCCCGCCACCGAACGGTCCCCTCCCACCGCGGAGCCCGCGGTCCTGCTCTCCCTCTGTGCCCTTCGCATCTTCGGCCACCGCGACACCTTGGCCGCTACTAGGAACACGGGACGCTACTAGGGGTTCCAGGCCTTACTACTATAGGAGCAAGGACGGGACTAGGAGCTGTGGCCGCATGGGGTGGAAGAACTGGGCATGGTCAAGGACAGTCGATGGTTGGACCTATGTTTGAATAGCCAGGGATGGTCACTTAAGCTGTTCTCAATGTAAAAAACGTAAAGACTGAAGAGGGCAAAAAAAGGACCGGACGACCCCACATGAAAACAACTTCACCAAAACACAGGAGCGGACAATTGGTGATCGGTGGTTGGTTGGTGGTTGGTTGGTTGGTTGGTGGTTGGTTGGGGCAGGACGGGGGCCCCTGGACGGCGGAGACCCACGGGCGACGCCAGGGCGTACATCCGACCCGTGAGTGAGTTGAGTGAGTGAGTGAGTGAGGTGAGGTGAGGTGAGGTGAGGTGAGGTGAGGTGAGGTGAGGTGAGGTGAGGTAGGGAGTGAGTTGAGTTGAGTTGAGTTGAGGTGAGGTGAGGTGAGGTGAGGGAGAGTTGAGTTGAGTTGAGTTGAGTGAGGTGAGGTGAGGTGAGGTGAGGTGAGGTGAGGTGAGGTGAGGTGAGGTGATGTGAGGTGAGGTGAGGTGAGGTGAGGTGAGGTGAGGGAGGGAGTGAGTTGAGTTGAGTTGAGTTGAGTTGAGTTGAGTTGAGGTGAGGTGAGGTGAGGTGAGGTGAGGGAGGGAGGGAGTGAGTGAGTGAGTTGAGTGAGTAAGTTGAGTGAGTGAGTGAGTGAGTGAGTGGGTGGGTGAGTGAGTGAGTGAGTGAGTGAGTGAGAGAGTGAGTGAGTGAGTGAGTGAGTGGTTGAGTTGAGTTGAGTTGAGTTGAGTTGAGTTGAGTTGAGTTGAGTTGAGTGAGTTGAGTTGAGTTGAGTTGAGTTGAAGTGAGTGAGTGAGTGAGGGAGTGAGTGAGTGAGCGAGTGAGTTGAGTGAGTGAGCTGAGTGAGTGAGGTGAGTGAGTGAGTTGAGTCAGTGAGTTGGTTGTTGGGCGGGGGAGGGTGGGAGGAAGGAAGGAAGGAAGGAAGGAAGGAAGGAAGGAAGGAAGGATTGGATACAGCACTAAAAACGAAAATCCCACACATCAATGTGGGGAATAAAGAAGAGCTATGATATTATAGATGTTTATAGATCTTTCTTGAAATCGGGTACCTATGGGTACCTTGAAGGACCCTTCCTTCAAACCTTCCAAACTTGCACGTTGACTCCCATATCAATCCCGATCAACTACAATAATTTAATGGCAATAAGTTATAAGTCCCATTAGCAGCTGATGATAATTGCGAATCCTGAATAGGCGTCAATTGACATACAGCAACCCCCTCAGTTTCCATTGAAAGTCAAACCTTTTTCCACATGTTAGACTATGTTAGATTTTGGTGGGGGTGGGGAAGCCTATCCCGCAAAAAGGTTAAAGCTTGTTCACTGACTGGGTGACCAGGTGCAATGACAATCATTGTACTCATTGTACTGTACTGTAGGTAACCTATCAAGATCTATAAACGGCAGGGATGTGACGAAATCAAACTCTTGCTATAGATGCAAGTCGTGACGTGCATGACTTCTTCCAATTCTGGCCGGGCTGCTAAACGATCGCTTCAATGGCGAGGTGATCATCACACCTGGCCATCACAGAGATCATTGTATAAGTGGGAAACATCACTCTTGTGGGACACTATGTAATTAAATAGTGAGGCATTGCTATACCCCTGTTGCGAATTGAGGCCCCTGAGGCCAGAATAACGAAACACAATACCATCAGAACAATGAACTTGGACTACAGGCCGCCACTGCGAGTGTGTGTGGAACATGGGGCATCTGGAGTCCACCTCCAAAAAAGGCATCATTGGTGGATCATACAGATCGCCTGGATTGCCCGAGTTTGGTGTTGAAAGGGCTTTCACCATCATTCCTTGATGAGGTTCCATGGGTGAGTGGAAGAAGTAATTCTGGTAGGTTTCCCCCATTCGGTGCACTCCCTAGACTCAAGTAGTCGCCCTTTCTCCGACAAAAAATGGGAGAGGAAGGGCATCACCCTTCTTCTTAGAATTCACGCTGTGCACTTGAGCATTCTTTTCCAGACACTCCATGGCAGGACTGGCATATTTACGCAATATTGGGGGTGGTTGAAAAGGGGTCAATGTAGGCATAGATACGATACGCGGAGCATCTGGGTTGGTATGAAACAGAAAATATCATGACAACCCTCCAAGGCCCCCGTGGCCCTTCCTGGCACCCCCCTCGCCGAACCTTCGGTCTGGGGGTGGCTGAAGTCCTCACAGCTGGAAGGGGTTTCTCCGGCTCAGGAGTGGCACAGCTGAAAGCTAAAGGACATTCTGTATATGCCAATGTTGGTGAACCCGTCTTGGAAACATGATAGGAGCAGGAACTCATCCAACAAAAATGTATTGCGTGACTCTTTGCCTGCATGACTGTAGTTGCTCGGAATTCAATCGCAAAGGTGATAGGTGAAGCTCATGGTCTCTATCTCTTGCTATTCCCTGCCATGGCAACTTCCGGTGGCTCTGCCAATGCACGAGCCACATAGTTAGTAACTTAATACCTGTACATGTTCAGCATCTCGCAGTATGATGCAGTATATTAGTATAACTTGGGTCTATCCTATTACCTGTAACAGTGGATGATGATAGTTAGTAGAGGCCTTGTCATGCCTTGTCCAAAAGTAGTGATTTGCTTGCTTGTTTGCGGGTCCTGTTACAGGTAAGTTCGGGCAAACCCAAGATTATATATATAATTGCGTGAAATGTCTGTTGTCACTGCCCGGCCTATATGAAATTCAATGTCTGTTTGACTTGTAGGGTTAGTATAACTATATTCTCACCCTTGCTCCGTGGGGAACTCTTTCACCCCGTCAGGTTGGAGCAATCCGACCAGTTTCGACCAAGCGTCATGTCATTTTCCCCTGGTCTCGTGGAAAGCAGGTCCTACATCACTGGTAGTGGTGGGTGACTCCAAAGTGAATCAAAATCGAAGGTCCTCGCAACAAACATGTTTTCGGACGTCCTGGCTCATCCGAAGACTGCTTTTTTTTTCTCATCGCTCTACAATGAGCCGGGAGTGGTCCGCCCTTTTCATCCACCCTGCGACGAGATGAAACACCAAGCTTCCACCAACTCGCTGGCCATTGGGGATCCAACTTCCTGAGGACGAACGAGGACTGTGCCGACCACACAATCAGTTGCTTGCCATGACCTGTGTGGCAAATGCATTGCAAAGTTGAGTTTGGTTGCAGAAGCAGCGAAGAACTCCGGTCTGCGTGAGTGAGAAAAGTTGATCTGAAGGCTTTCCAATTGAAATCGTTGCTGCCGTGCTCATCTGTCCATAAGCATGTAATAAATTGAATACATCATTGCTTTAAATGGAGAACTCAGGTAGCCTTGGCGAAGAGTCGTTTGTGATCTTTTGCACTCTGCTACAGAATTGGATAAAACAAGCCGCAAACCGTGCCTTTTACGACACAATCCTGCCCATTGCAAATCGAGGCGGTTCTTTGATCCGGTTTCATGTGACTTTAGGTCCTTGTCAGGCGCTTCTGGCGACAAGTGGCCAATTGAGATGGCACAATGAGCTTCAAAATCATTAGGGTGGCCCCGCACGCAACTTTGTAAACAAGAATGTTCTCGATTTGCTGGTGCATGGGGTGAGTGTATGTCACACTGTGGTACTCTGTGGAGCCACCCTGTGCATCTTCATCCAAGTGCCTCCTTTGGGGCTCTGAGAGGCATGCTCAGCTGGGCATTTGAACATCGCCTGGCATCCCACCGATTGTCACTCCTAATCATTCATCTGGCTCTAAAACATGCTGACTCCCACCCTGGAGCGCAACGCTCGGACTTCAGTCACCCTGGATTCTTGGTACCCTCAGCCTAACCTGCCCGCTTCGCTCGTCCGCCTTAACGTGGGTACTTGCAGCACTTGGATCCCGGGGGGTCACCGCAAAGTCGGTTCTCCGGCACCCGGCCGCCGAAGCAAATGCAAAAGTAGCCTCGGCGAGTGTTCGCGCATGCGCGGGCGTTCGGGGGGGGGCGCATGAGATGCGCCCTGGATGGTTGGAGCAAGCAAACATGGGCAGCTGGACACTGGTCGACCCGTATGCAGTGACTTTGGGGTAGGGCCTCAGGTTGAGCTAGCATCAGCTGGCCTCCTTCATAGAACATTATGCAAAGAGTTTGCATCTGGGACGTGCAGCCTTGCCAAAGCGCAAAAGGCACCATACGGGGAATTTGAGGCAAAGCCTGAAACGCCAGCAATGACGAGGTTTATTGTCCATTCTTTGACCTACCCTAGGGCTCCAAGTACCTTCTAAGAAGGTGTTTGGGGTGGGTTTAGAGGGTCCAGTCATACCTTCCGAGGAGGTACGACGAGAGCGCCGTCCCAGTCCGACTGAAAGCCAGGGCTGTCGCTCAAAAGACCGGCGTCCAAGTGGATTCTGCGTCCAACCGAGCTGCTGGAATAGCCAAAGGTCTGGATTCGTCCTTTGTGACCTGAATTGGTGCGTCTGGCGCGGAGCAGGTGCAACACAACGAGAGCGTCATCAATGCCTTCAAATGACCAAACCCATCGGACTAGGGGCAACTGGACTATAGACTCACACAAACATCGGGGTGTATTTGTTCATGACTGACCTGGGCCATCATTTCACCCGTGGCTTGTGCAGCGAAATCGTTGCGATCTTAGAACTTCACCGACTCGATGCCGCCAACGAAAACACACCCACAACACATCGCACTTTGCGGTGAGAGGAGTCAACATGGTGACGAGTGGTCAAAACCTATTATATAATAAACTATGATTATTTAGGGCCTATTCTATTACCACTAACAGGCAATAGGACAAACCCAAATGATATATAATATATATATATTCATATATAGTTGTAGGACGCACTCCCGGAAACAAACTTGGACCTCTGAGAAGAAAGCACCTAGAAACGCTCTTTTTCCGATTCTCTACAAACCGGTGGTGGCGTCGACTCAGCAGGGTGTCAGAAAAGTCTTCGGAAAAAGGTTCTTCTCTTGGACGCCCTGTTGCTGTTGTTTTGACGGATAAAATCCGTTGTCTCTCCCCAGAACCTCGACGTTCCTCTTGGATTGGTCGTCGTTCCCTGTTTTTGGTCCTCCACGCCAGGTCGTGCCCACTTGACTTGCTGACTGGTGGGACGGGAACACTGGGCTCAAAGAACACGAAAGAACACCCAACTCAAGCTACAGGAGGAACGGAACAGTCTTGAGTCTCGTATTTATTCTTCTGTCTATCATCAGGAGGCGAGGCTGCGCAAACACATGACTGGTGGGTCTTCTAAAATTCCTTCTTACGGAAATACAATTCTCCTTCAAAAAATATGTTTCCTTCTGCGAATCTTTCGTGAACTCCATGTTCAACTTTCGCGCGGGGAGTGTGTATACCCGTTGTGTCTACATAATTATTACAGTACCTCTCTTTCGCAAATCTTCGGTGACACTTTTTTTACGTTTGCGCTACCTAGGCTTTGATTGAACCATGAGTACGCAATACACTACGAACCAACTGCGCAAGTTTTGGTTGGCAATCATATGGCAATAGGTGCTTGTGGGATCTTTGCTTTGATGTGAGGAATATGGAGAGACATCCCCAACTAGCTATTGTATGCTATTGTAGTTCCCGTCACTTAGCCCTTTTCCCGTGGAACTTCTGGTCTCAGCCACTTTCAGCATCGGCACACATGTCCACGCAGCGCTGATTGTTGTCATCATGGGTTCCGCGGTGCCATTTCCAGTCATCATTGATCCAAGGGCAGTTCCCCAGCTCCCAGCCACTGCGCTCGTCCACTTGACTCACATTCTCACTCTGCTTCACACCCTTCGCCTGGTATGCCGTAGCAGGGCAAAAAGAGCGAAATCTAAGGAAATCATGCTGAACAGTGACACATCGCATCAACTCATGTCGCTTAAATGCCTGCAGCAAATGCAGCGCAGCATCTTCAGCTTCCAAAAGGGTCTTCGTCTGAAGCTCGTCCGTGGCTTCGTCAGCGCTGGCTCTGAAGAGAAGGAGAAGCGCAAGGATCCACGACATGGCCCTCCCCAGCGGCGCGCGACGCGAAAAAAGGCGTCGAACTGGACCCCAAAAGCTGAGTCAGATCCGGCGTGATGTTGGAGGAGGAAAGGGTGCAAACATAGACTATTGTTACTAGTAGCGATTGTTACTAAATGCTGTTACTAGTAACAGCGATGGCCTCCAACCTACTTGCGGTGGCCTCCACCTAATAGCGTCCTTGTTACCACGTGCGGAGTGGCGAACCTGTAGTTTAATGGTGTTTGATGGTCTTTACATGTGCATGGCTCATCTAACGCATATCGTGACGGCAGTGATAACGTTAATGATATTGAATCGGCAAAGCACATCTGAACGGTTCCCCTTTGTGAAGCACGCTGGGTTGCAACTCTGTGCCAACTTCTGCACACGCTCAAAAGCTGCATCTGCTGCGTCCGAGGCTCTCGAGCAACCGCCGCAACCTGGTATCGCCGAGCTCATGGCTCGAACATGCGATTTGGTCAAACAAAAAGACATGAACAAACACCGGCACGGGTTAAGGTTAGAGCAGTCGCTTGCTTTCTCGCAGAACGCTCCACAAGCGGTTTCTTCAAACCGGATGGGACAAGAAACGTGAAAGAGCCTTCCTTTGTCATCCTGGTTCTTTCGAATTTCAGTGCTCACCCGCACGAAGACCTCGGCCCACTGCAGGTCTGTGGCGAGTGCCTTCAAGACGCACTCCCGAATTCCGTTGCATCAATCAAGCGACTTGACGAGACAATTCCGTTCGAGAATCACATCGGTTCAGGCGTAGGGCCTTGTCCTCGGGCTGCGGCTGAGGCCGGCCTGGCAATGAAGGACATTCTCAAGTCTCTGCAGGTTTTCAGGCTGTCGCATGCGGACTGAGAAAAAAAGAACTCCCAGCAGGCGCACGCTGGACATTCAGTTGCATGAGTGTCAAAGGAAGGATCCACCTCTTCAATCCTCTTCACTTGTCGTTCTCTGTCTCTTCATGACCTTCTTGCGCTTCTTGGTCCCCATCTTCGCGGTGGCTGTGGTACCACTGCGTCCTGACCTGGGCGGAGCTCATCATATTCTCGCTGTGATTTGGGCCTTGGGCGACCTCGATGAGGTGAAAACGGCAGCTCTATGGCCAGCTCTTTCTCTTGATCATCGAGCTCGTCAGGATGGTAGTAATTAGGGGCCATTTTCCTGAAACCGTTCGAAGGATTTCATCACCTTGGCCCTTCTCCGGCACGCCCAAACATGTCGAAGAAGTCCTGCTCTTCCCAGAGTGCTTGACAGGCAGCTGTCACATCCCGCCCCTGTCGCTCCCCAACCCGTCACGTGCTTTTCGGTGTCCAAGCTTGAGCTTGAGCCAGCACTGCAGGCAAAAATGATAACAACAGTTTGGGTTCTGCATTAAGCCCAAAAATGGAATGTCTATGAACTGTTGCTGCTTTCCATGTCCATAACTTAGTCGCTGGCGGTGTTCAAAACACACATCTATGAAATGATCGCATGCCGCCGACCAAAATGTTGAACAGCCCCTTGTCACCAAAATTGTCTAAATTTAGTGACTAAAAGCCGGCTCTCTTCAAGCGTTGGAATGTTAAACTACCTTATCGAGTAGCAAGCACTGATAGATGTTTTTGTGTATATATTATATATATATATGCACAGTCAATGCACAGTACTATACACAGTACTATAGAGGGCCGGTAGTGGCTCTGACGCACCTCTCCATGCGCCGAAGCCGGGTTCGATCCCCGGGTGCAACACGAGGTGGACAGGCAGGCTACTATCTTGTATAGATAATCTTTTAGCATTATAATATCTTATAATAAGATATGTCTTATACATTATATAATGTAAGATTTATCTTATATATAGAAAATTTATGTAAACACATGCATAAAATATGCGTAATGTGTTATAGATATGAAATACCGTATAGGCAACCATCAGGTTGCCGCGCCTTCTCATCAACTTGTGCTTCTTGCTGCATTTGATGGGCTTGAAGTGCCTGCGGGGACAAAACCCCATTTTGAGCTGCCCAAATCTGGAACTTTGCTGTGTAAGGGTGGGCGCTGAAACAAGTTTCAATGTGAACTGCAAGGGGCTTACATCTTCCAAGTGTGTTGCAGTACGCCTTGCAGTGATTAGAAGCAATTCATCTTCTCCCGGGCCTGTAGAATGTGTGAGTGAAGGTCAACCAAACTAGACCTTAGCAACTGAGCTGCACTCTGGCGATGAGTGAAAAAGCCACACATCACGCAAAACGAATGGGTCCACCTATAGCAATACAAAAGAGGTATTATTGGAAGCTATAAGTGGGTTTCAACTCAAGGAATGAGTGGGATCAATCATCCCAAGTAAATGGTAAGCCAACACCGGAACGAAGTGTGGGATGTTCAAAAATTAGTCAAGTAAATGGTTGAACATGTTGAACATTGGAAGCCAATACCCGCCACCCAAGTCTGACCTACTTCCATCGATGATACGCCCACCCGCGAGATCCCACACACGGACGCATCCGGGACGTTTTGGTATATATCCCACAAAAAAGGACGCGGTGTCCGCACTTCGTTTGGATCGCAAAGCCAAATTTGCCTCTTCATGACGGTACCATTCAATCACTTGAGAGAATGAGTACCTAGATAGATTTCTAACAGTTAAAAGACTTCTCGAGATATACTTTTCTATCCTGCGGGGTCTATAGACAAGTAGGTCAAAAAGCAAGAACCGTGAGTCGTCTGTGGGATGAATGGGCTCCCTGCACGACCGGACCCAATGCCCTGCTGTGAGGGTCAGCTGTTTGGTTGGCATTGCTTGGCACTGGTGAGCCATCTCATACCCGAACACCCCAAAAACACCTCGAAGCCCGACTCGTCCGTCCTGCCCCGATGCCACGCATCGAACCCGAGGATCTCCGACTGTGCTGCCCGGGCATGGCAGCATCATAAGCTGCCACCAGGTCGGTCGTCGGCGGCCTGGCCCGGGTCCATGGTCATGAGCAATCCAGAGTTCAGTGACTCAAAACCACTTGTCAATTATTGGATGTTATTGGGCTTATTGGACACTACTTCTGGAAAAAAACTCTATAGGGAACAATCCATTATTAATATGTTTATTGCGATGTTGTGGGCTGCAGTCAAACAACACGTGAGGAAACTGCAGGTCTTTCGCTCTATGGCGGCCGTTGACTTTTCCTGTTGGAACAGGCTGCGGGGAACTATATGATTAGCACACATAAGTTTTAGACTTGAGAGAGGAGGGGGGTGAACGAAAGGTAGCAGGGAATCAGGCGTAATCCGGGAGGAGGTGAGAGGCCCCCCACTTGTTTGAAGAGAAGTGAGTGAGCGTGATGAAAGAAAGACTAATGCACAAACGCTTGACAAAACCTCCAGAAGCTGTAGCGGTCTAGCGGTTTCAATACAGGTTGACGTGCCTTCAAAAGGAGTCACATATTTCTCAAATGCAACTTCGGATTTACATAGTGACGTGCGGCGACCCTGTAAATTGCGTGGCCGCAGGCCATGCTTGCAAACAGGACGTGCTCAAAAACACTGGTATTTACGAGGTTTCGTTGCCGTCGATCCACAGCCGTGGCATGGTCTAAGGCCACGCTTGAAGACAGGAGGAGCTGAACACACTGGTATTTACGGTATTTTGTAGCCGTCGATCCAAAGGCGCACCACGGTTGAGCGCTGGAAAAGCGCAGAAAACCGTGTAAATACCGGCGTTTTCTGCCGGGAAGGTGCACAAAACCCTGTAAATACCATAGTTTTGTGCAATTTTGAAGCCTCCAAAAGCCTCAAAAACCCTTTCTGACAAAATCTTTCCTGGTTTTTGGTCTTTTTTCGGTCATTTTTCTAACCGAGACGCATCAAAAACCATCGGTTTTTGCGGTGTTTTTTGCCGGACAGCCACAAAAAACGCTGTAAATTCCATGATTTTTGGTCACTGCTGAGGACTGGAAGAGCTGAAAACACTGATATTTACAGTGTTTTCGAACGGTTGACCCCGAGGCGCGCTAGGGTGGAGTTGAAAGGGGGGGGGGGGGGCCCCCCCCCCCC